AGAGACGGGGTTTCACCATGTTGACCAGGATGGTCTCGATCTCTTGACCTCGTGATCCACCTGCCTCGGCCTCCCAAAGTGCTGGGATTACAGGCGTGAGCCACTGCGCCCGGCCTTGCACCTTCCTTCTTAAGAATATTTTGAAATGGCAGTAAGACTTAGATCCTTGAATGCTAAAGCTCAAGGACAGTATTAAAATACTCAGGCAAGCAATCACACGCAGGCCTCCCCACCGCACTGGCACAATCCAGAAGCCTCTGCACGGTCTGTTTGAGGGTGGAAAACACAGGAGCCCTGGGTGCGGCCCTGAGGTCTCCTGTACCCCCATCCTAGAAGCAGCCTCCCAGTAAATCCTCAGCAAGTGGATACGCCCGCCAAAGTGGCAAAGCACAGCTAACTAAAGAAACAACCTGTGTGGTTCATCATTCTGTGGGTGGAGGGGACCGGCAACTCGCCTGCCTGCACACAAGCCCACAAGAAGCTGTTTCTCAAGTGTGCTGGATGCACTGTCTGCACTGACAATACTGGGCTAAACCACGTTAAATGGCCACCATACAGGTCGCACGTGGCTGACTTCACTCCCGCGTGGGCCTCAACTTTCCCCGTGGGGAAAGAGTAGGTCTACATCATGTGAACACAGGGCCAGCTCGTAGACTCACCTCCTGCCTCCCGCCAGACATCCTGTGGTGGTCCGTCTGGTTGCACTTGGTGGAGAACTCATCCTTCTTCACAATCTTCAGTGTCCGCAATGCAAGGAAAAAGGAGAGTGAGAAACACAGAATCCGCCACAGCATCCCCCACGCCAGGCAGGTGGCCACGACCCCTCCCTCACCACACCCACCAAACCCATCTGCAGGCACCCAAGATGCAACTGATGCGGGGCCAGCGGAGGGAATGGAGTCTCCCTGAGCAACACTCCCCATAGAGCAGGAAGTGGTGGTACGTCCCAGAGAGGGGTGTTTGCATTTCCCAGCGTGACATGGAACAGCAAAAGGGCTGCATCTCACACACAATGTGTGACAGATGACACGCGGTGCTCACCATGGGGACCACTGCCAGATCAGATCAGACAGCAGAGAGCACACTCAGTTCCACACTGACATTCTTGCAAACAGGAGAAAAAGAAACAGAGGAACTGAAGTTGCAAAGAACCAGCGGCTCTGAGAATGCAATCAACAGAGGGCTCTGGCAAGTGACCTCTGGAGTCCACCGCACCACGGGGGCGTGAACAATGCACAGTGGGGCAGGGCAGAGCCTCCCTCCCGCCCGCTGATCTGCTATAGCCCAAGTCTGCACCTGAGAATACCAAAGCAGGCCTGGCTGGAGCCCATGCAAGATGGCACTGGGATGGTGAGGACCAGCCCTGCCACTGCACACACCTGGATGTGGCCGTGGTGGGGCCCTTTGTGGCCGTACATGCACTCCACCGTGGCGGCCTTCCTCTCCATCAGGTGAATCCTGAACAGAGGCTTGAATCTCATGGGGTCATTGACGTGGGGGTCGTGGGGAGGCAGGTACATCCACCCAATGATGAACAAGCCGTCCACCTGCAGGAGGAGATAAGGAAAGGTCCACAAGCAGCTCCCGGGCCACAGCAAAGGTTGCCCTACACAGCCACCCCTCCCCTGCCCCGTGCCCCGCACTGCAATCACACAGAGATGCTCCCGCCAGGCCAGCACCTGGGACGTGCATGCCCACCCTCAAGCTGCCTCGAATGCGAGCCAGTGCCCAGCACTATATTCCGGCTCTAAGATGGGGGCAGACGCCAGGAGGAGGCAGAATAATCCAGAAAGTGAGATGGGGTGAGATGCTCAACCAGACAGAGGGAACAGAAGTGCATCTCCTAAAAGGAGAGAGTGAACAATGGCAGCGCAAGGGCCCCATTCGCATCCTGAGGTGAACAAACCGGTTCAAAGGCGCCTTTGAGATGATCTGGAAGGGTGCCATGGCCTGGGCATCAGGGGACGGAAGGAATGATTGCCACTTCTGTCAGGTGTGGCAGTGACATGGAGATGCGGGAAACACCCCCTTTATTAGTGCGCTGCATGGAGGGAGGGACAGCTGAAATGCCATGGGCCTGGGATTTGCTTCAAAACCGAAGTGCAGGAGAGGAGAGACATGCCAGAACCCCGAGAGCAGGACCTCAGGGGCGGAGAGAGCTGAGGGAGCGCACTGGCCGTGCATCCTCACGTGTCTGGGCACTGACGGTGCCAACGCAGAAGGGGGGTGGCCCCAGCATGCTCTGGGCACAGTGGCCACATGCTTATAAGGAAAGACGGCCTAGCGTCATCCTCTCTGGGAGAGCTGAAACCAACGAGACTTCCAGCTCCAGCAACCAAGGAGAGAATTTCATCATTTCTGAGGCTAATGAGCCCAGGTCAAGCATGTGCTGGTGCTGTTCTCTCACAGACTACACTTTCCCCAATTATTCCCTGGTTTTCAGAAGCTGCTTTTTGGTTTTTGGGGTTCATTTTTACTCTGTTACTCACTACCAGTAAGAAAAACAATTACCATTCTCTTTCCACTAAAAGAAAGGAAAGCAACCTGCCCACGCTGTGAGCTGCCAGGCTGGTCTCCTGAAGGAAACACCCTAAAAGCAAAGCTGGACTCAGTGCCCAACACCACAAACGCACAGCTTGCCTCTCCATGGCCGCTCCCACCAGATGACAAAGGAGAATGTGTATCCCGGCCCCAAACCCCACCTGGGGAGCAAAGGCCAGAGTCGCAGAGTAGCCACTGGCCCAGGGGCTGTGCACATCAGGCCCAGAAGAACCTGTGCAGAGGCCACAGGGAGACAGACACACCCGCCCTCACTGGGCTCAGCCCCAGGTCCAAGTGGACAAAAGGGAGGAGAGCACAAGCCGAACGCCAGTGCCAGATTTTCACCATGGCAAAAGCAATAGCAACAGTGACATTCAGGGGCCAGGTGCCAGCCCAGAGCTCAACAGTCAGGGCAGGGCCTTCCCTTCAAGAGGCTCCAGCAGGAGGGTGTAAGGGCAGGAAGGAGGGAGAAAGGGCGGGAGGGAGGAAGGGGGAGAGGATGGGAGGGCAGACCAGAAGCCCTGCGGACCCTGCAGAGCACCACATCCTCACTCCACAGAGACACCTTCAAATACCAAGAAAAGTTAGACCTCTGTGCTGAATAAGCAGCTACTGTTCAACATAAGTTGGCAGGTGGCCGGGTAGCATAGAAACTAAAACTACAAGCAGACATCTGCTCCTCGCCCTGGCCACAGAGCTCATATCAAACCTACCCTCCTGCTAAGAATAGCCATGAAGACTGAAGACTGTCTGTCTCCTAAGTCCAGGAGGAAGAAAAGAGAAAACAGAAAAAAAGACTGAACACATCAGAGAGCAATGAAGGTAGCCCACAGACGAGGACACAAGGCCCTGAAGAACAGGGACAGGCTGGGGGGCCGAAGGGCAGGGCTTTCTCCCCACTTCCTGAGGCCACTGAACACTGGCTGGGGAGGAAGGCCTATGCCTGACACCTGCAGGCTGGAGAGGCACACACGGAGGCCAGGGCCACACGGGCCAGGACTACCGCGGCGAAATGCCGAAGACGGTAACCAGAGAACACAGCCCCACACTGTGCACAGGCACTGAGGAATCCTCAGTGAGGGGTGGGAAGTGGAGGTGGGAAGCAGCATGGCTGCTAAGAGGCGAAGGGGCTGAGTGAAGCGTGGCTTACAAAGCCAAGAAAAGGCAGAAGGACCTTTTCACAGGGCCTGGGGAAAGAGTGCACCTGGGGCCTCTGCCTGGGCCCCACAGATGAAGCAGAGCGACCGGGAATGAGAATGAGACACCTCCCCAAGCCTGAGACGTGCGCACACCCTAGGCCTGTGCAGAGCAGGTGCTCTTGACTCAGCTCTGCCTGCAGGCCAGGGCCAGGGCCTCTTGGGAAGACCAGGCCACGGCACCCAGACAAGCCCCCAGGCACACGGTGAGGGGTGAGGGACGACTGGCATGCCTGGAGATCAGGAGAAAAGGCAAGGGCTAGACTTGAAACAAACTTTCACTACTATACCCAAAAAGATGGACAAAGAGAAGGAAAACATCAACAGAATATGAGAATTTAATAAAAAAGAAACCAGACTTCCATCTCTGGCCATAATCAAGTACCTGGGACTAGACAGACACTGCCACAGCAGACCCAGGAAACAGAAAAGTAATGTCCTCACAGGTCCTCAGACCCCAACACCAGGCTGCCAGGAGACGGGAAACGGAGGCAACTCTGCCACCAGCCTGGACTTCCACCTGCAACATTCTAGCACTTTCCAGACTACAGGGTCAGAGGGGATCTCCAGAACCCGAGGAAACAGACGTCAGAGCACAACATGGCTAGATCATGTGGGGTAAAGACCCAGAAAGGAAGGACCTGGCTGAGTGCAGACTCCAGACCACCCCTGCACGTGCACACTAGGCCTCAGCATCCAGGAAGCAAAGGCCCTCGCAGCCACCCCCTACGACCAGAAAGTCCAAGGATGGACCAAAAGGCCAAAGTGGTACTCTAAGCGAATCTTTGCTCATTTGGAAAATAAAATGGGGGTCCTGAAAAGTGACCCAGCAAGAAGTTTTTGGTAATTACCTCCCACGCCCATGTGGGCCAACTGGTACCCAGGTGGAAGAGGCCCTCATCCTCCACTTAAGACGTCACTCCTGCCCATGCACAAACCCCGTCACAAGGCTCTGGGACTTACCACCACGTTCAGCAGTCCTCCGTACGGCCCGATATCTGGCTGCCACAATCCCAAAATGTGTCTGTATCGGTGAAGCACTACAGGAGAAGAGAAAGAGCAAGTCTCTGTGTTAGACCCACCATGCCACAGGGAGCCAGGGAGCCCCAAGAAGTAGGAGGGAACCATGAGGACTCACAAAAGACTTGCAGGAGAGCACTCCAAACACACACACATCAAGCCTCTGAAGCTGTATCAGCATGAAATGATCCTCAGAAAGCCTGAGTAAAATGAGCCTCCCGTAAAGTGATGAGCCTCCCATCAGTGGGGGGGAAATCAAGCAAGGCGGGGAAATCTCTTTTCTAGGAACAAGACAGAAGGGGTGCAAACAGAGAGCTGGATCAGGCCTGCCAAATGCTAAGACGCTGGCACCACTACAAGGCATGTCGTAAGCAATCAGATCTTTAAAGCTATTCCAATAATGACATTGTCACACTTGCCAGAGGCCCAGGACAAAACATCTCTGTCCCATTCCTTGCCAGCCAATGGCCAAGTCAGGCTGGGCAATCTCACTTCCTGAGCAGCTCCAGGTCACCCCTGAAGCTGCCCCCAGGCCCTTCCTAGGTCTCTACCACATGGTGTATGGGCCACTGTGCCAGCTGCCTCCCCTCAGGCCATCCTGAACCCCCGACCCACCCACTGCCTCTCTCCACAGCTCCCTGGCCAGGCCCTAGGCCCTCTGCCATGTGGCTGCCACCAACCTTCCTGCCTCTCCACCTCACATGCCTGCTCTCCATCAGCCCCCCAGGTCAGCCCAGCCCAGCCCCTCTAGCCCCTGCATTGTATCGGCATTTACAAGCCACCCCTTGGCTGCTAAATGCCTGATAAAGCCTGCGTCGCACACTTCACCACCACTGCCAGTTCCCATCATTCAGGAAGCCTTACCCGGCAAGAGAAAGCAGTGAGTGTGATCATGGGGAAGGAGGAGGCTCCCAGTGACTTCCCCTGCCCAGGCCTGCGTTCCCTGACAGTGGAGCCTGGGTGTAGAAGCTCATCTGGCGGGTGGAGAAAGGGTGAGTGGGTAGAGAGTACTGACCTGGCAGGAGAGTACAGACCTGTATAGATATTCTATATAGACAGAATAGACAGGGTGCTTTGCACACACCTCCCCATCATGGTCACCATAGCCAGCCGGCCCAGGCAGATAGAGCCTCACTCATCTGGGTCACTGGGCCGAGCACAGGTCCCAGGTCTCCTGACGGTGGGACAGAAAGTGCTGGGAACCATCACGTGAGGGCTGCCTATGAGAGGGGGCCCCGTGCTCACCCAGGACACCCACCAGAGCAGCAAGCAAGACCAGCACAGGGCAGAGAGCACGCCTGGCGCCTGTGTACCTGGAAAGCTCCCACAAACCCTGGGTCCCGCAGAATGACTGAGCACTCAGCCAGACAAGTAACAAGGACTCGCACAGGAATCCAGCAAAAGCATCGTTCGCTTGGTGGGGGCAACAGCAGACCTGGCATCGGCAACAGGAGGCACTAAGTCCACTCACAGCTTTACAAGACTTCAGTAAAGACAGAGACGAGAAGCATTCGTACAAGGCGAGAAAACACTGAGGACAAAAACTCCCCCAACTAATCACACATAATGTTGTCCCAACGCAAACCCACAGGTTTTTGTTTTTATAAGATGGGGTTTCACCATGATGGCCAGGCTGGTCTTGAACTCCTGACCTCAGGTGATCCACCCACCTTGGCCTCCCAAAGTGCTAGGATTACAGGCGTGAGCCACCGCATCTGGCCCAAACCCACAGGTTTTAAACAGTAACTTAACAAAATGATTCCAAAGTCCATATGAAGAGGTGAGAGCAGCCAGTGATACTCCAAATTTCATAAGACGAGTCCTATGAAAATGAACTATTCTAACTAGAGCAGTCAGAACAAGAACAGAAAGAGAGATGAAGAAAATAAAATACAGTCCCGGGAAAGCCCCAGTGGCATCTGACACAACAGCGGAAGTCAGGGATTGTGGAACAGGTTGGGGCAGAGGACAAAATGTCACGGGACTGCAGATTAAAATTTCAGCTGGGTCACCTCTTTTTTAAAAATAAATTTCCATTAGCCGGGTGTGGTGGCATGCGCAGTGGTCCCAGCTACCCAGGAGGCTGAGGTAAGAGGATCACTTGAGCCAGGGAGGAGGAGGCTGTAGTGAGCGATGATTGTGCCACTGCACTCCAGCCTGGACAACAGAGCAAGACCCTGTCTCAAAAAAAATCCCCTATTTCAAAAGCAACACATACATAGTCACTGAAGACAATTTGGAAAAAGGAAACCTAAAGCTCACTGGTAATCCCACCACTCAGAGACCACAGCGCAGTCAATATGCTGGCAGACATGGTTTCCGTCTGCTGTCCTGCAACTGTATCTGCTGAGTGAGCACGTGTGACTCAGCGAATGGGCAGGGTCTCGGGGCTCTGCAGGTTGTGGGGGCCATGCAAGGTTTCTGAGCACTGGAGCAGCATGACCCCTCCAGACCACAGGAAGGAAGATGGAGCAGGGAGGGCAAGAGGCCAGATGGCAGCAAGGAGGCCCCCACCTGGATCTAGGGTACAGGGAATGAGAAACCTCTCGAGCCTTTGGAGAGGAGGCTGGACTCCAACAGCTCCCAGGATTCAGCCCAGATCATCATTTAGGAAGTTCCTAACTGAGCCTGGGCTGTGTGCAGGCTGCTGCCGGCCACCCCTTACGGAATCCTCTGAGTCCGTTTACAGGACACAGTCAAGCCAGTCTTGCTGCTTTACAGTCACATCTCGATGGGTGTGTGATCAAGAACCATAACAAACATTGATCTCGACACTGAGGTGTTTAGGAGTGAAATGTACTGATGCCTGCAAGTGTGAAATGCATCAGAAAGTAAGTCCACAGAGGGATGGATAGCTGGGCAGCTGGGTAACTGGATAACGAAATGTGGGTTCACTGGACAATTCTTCCAACTCTTCTATTTTCAAAACTTCATCATGAAATACTGGGGGAAAAAAATAACACTAGTCAGCATGGTGCACTCTCCTCTCCTCCCCTCCCCTCAGCTCCCCCTTTGAAGAATGCCCAAAGAGCCTGCCTCAGACGCCTGGCAATCACAAAAGGGGAGTTCCCTATTTTGCCTCAACGCAGCATTTCTGAAATAAAAACACAGCAGCCTCCCGAGATGCCAGTTCTAAAGCGACATCCTCCCTGGATCTTTAAGCTCTGCATGTTGCTCAAAGCGGTGACTCTGCTGTACTTGGAAGCAGCAGCCTCTGCTGAACAGGTATCAACTCCTTTAATCTGCGACAGCTACCAAAACATCCCAAGAGATGAGTCAGAGAAACCGTGTGGCCAGATGGGCTGCCAGCATGCAGACCCAGAGGGGACACAAGCTTCCTCATGGAATCGCAAAGCCCGTGTCCGAGAACATGCACTTTAAAAAGCACCCTTACGAAGCATAGCTATCGCAAAAGCAAATGTATTTATTCAAGAGATGAATCCATAGATTTCAACAGGAATTCAGCTCCCATTCAGACAGTCAAGAGCAGAGATGGACCCATACAAACGTGAATATTATCTGTAAACCCTAATGCCTCACCATTTTTATTATAAACATGTCTTCTAGCTGCCTATCTTTCTAAATTCAAAGGACCCAGTCCTTCCTAAAGTGGGCTCTGGTGGGAAAAAAAAGAACCCAGGAAAAATGTACCCTGTACTTCAGTTCCTCACAAGCTCCTCAGTGTCTCAGTCAAGGGCAGCAGGTGATCATGCCTTCCCACAAGACCAGGCCACTTTAAAGGCTCACTCTTGGGCACCTGCCACATTATCTTCCCATATGAAACAGCAAGGAACAGGGCCGGTCGTGGTGGCTCACGCCTGTAATCCCAGCACTTTGGGAGACCGAGGCAGGCAGATCACTTGAGGTCAGAAGTTCCAGAACAGCCTGGCCAACATGATGAAACCCCACTACTAAAAGTACAAAAATTAGCCAGAAATAGTAGCACGTGCCTATAATCCCAGCTACTTGGGAGGCTGAGGCAGGAGAATCGCTTGAACCCAGGAGACAAGAGGTTGGAGTGAGCCAAGATCACACCACTGCACTCCAGCCTGGGCGACAGAGTGAGACTCCGTCTCAACAATAAATATATATACATACACATCGGCTTCACACAGAGAAAAGATGATCTTCCTTTGTTTGCAGTGGCTCTCCACCCTAACTGCGCATCAAAATCAGAGGGAACATGGGAAAACGTCAACTCCAAGCCCCATGGCAGCCAAGTCAATCAGCAAGGGGATAGGGAAGTGAGGTGAGGGACCTGTCAGGGTTTCTGAGAAGCTCCCAGGTGACTGTAATGTGTGGCCAGGCTGAGAATCACTCCATAACATAAAGAAATGTCAACACATCACACTGTGCCCCATAAACACATAATATATACAATCCTTACCTGTCAGTTAAAGAAATAAATGCTTCTCTGACAATCTAGGAGGCTAAACAACTACATAAAAAAACCAGCAACCTTATTTCTGCCTTGAAGGTTATGCCGTTTTTCAGTACCAAAAATTAAATACATTAAAGATGAGAATGTGAATAAGGACATCGCTACCTCTTATTAAATATTGTTTTAACATCTGGCAATAAATTACCAGATGCTGCCACCTTTACGATTTTAACCCTTACTAAAGGGAGGGAGGGAATAATCCAGGTCAGAAGTCCACAAATGAGCATCACCAGAAGTTCCAGACATGACAGCCACAGGGAGAGACCAGGGAAGCTGCGTCAAACAAGTTCCCAGAAGACATGGACGCCACTGTCCAGGACCCCATTCTGAGAGTACAGATCTGGCCTCACAGTAGAGACTGGAAAAACGTCAGAATACTCTTTTGAGATGAACGCATTCCTCTAATTCCAGGTATTGAAAGTAGGCATCGATCCACCCCGGGAGCCCCTGCATAAATGCTCCCTAAATGAATTCAAAATGAAGCCAAATGGGAAAGGACCATGAAAGGTGGGGTTACACTTTCTCCTGCCAGCACCAACCCAGGCGCTGGCACATCTGGAAGAGCCACACCTGTCCTGACTCACAGTCCTCGAACCTTGGCCCACACACCACAGGTGGGCTCCATGCCAGGAGCCTGGCAGGGATGGAGATTTTGTGAGTGGATGCCCCTAGCTAAAGGTTTGGCCTGTGCTGCTCAGGGGAGTCTATGGAAGAAAATGGATTAACGTGAGCTGCCTTTCTGTCAGCCGAGGCGTGCGCAGGGCCACTGCCTCCTAGAGGCTTCGGGGGTCCACTCCCTTCCTTCCAGCTTCCAAGGCCGCTGCCCTCCTCGGCCCCTGGGCTCTCTTCCACCTTCAGAGCTACATGCAGCCTCTCTTACCTCTCACTCCTGCTCCCGCCATGGGCCCCCCTCATACCAACACCCTGTGATGACACAAAGCCTGCCTAGGTGATCCAGGATGCCCCCTTGCCTCAGGACCCGCACCTTTACCCACCAAGTCTCCATTACGATGGGGGCTGGGCTGAGTGGTGTCACCCAAAATTCACGTCCCCTGGAACCTCAGAATGTGGCCCTATGTGGAAGTAACCAACATGTAATGCAGGTGTGACCACGTTAGGATAAAGAAACGCATGCGCAAACAAGGCCAGATGTCCACTGACTGCTGTCTTTCCGAGGAGATGGACACTCAGACAGAGATGGAGGGGGCCAAGTGGGGACAGAGGCAGGGGCTGCAGCCATCCAACCAGAGCAGGAAAAGGCAGGAAGGAGGCTGGCTCCCCAAGGACCTTTGGAGGGAGCAGGACCCCAGGACACATTGTCTTGAACCTCTGGCCTCCAGATTGTGAGAAAATGGGTTTCTGCTGTTTGAAGCCCCCTTTGTGCTCATCTGTTCAGCTGCCCTGGGAGACCCCACACAGATTAGCTGACAACTCCACAGGCTCTGGGAACTAGGCTGCGGATGCTTCTGCGGCCCCTGCTGTACTCCCACAGCCATATAATGAATGGAATTCTTCCTCATGTTCGCCTGCTCCGAGTTCAGCTCCAACTTCAGGGGACCAGATGTTTCAAGGAATGCTACATTTCTAAGAAAGGCACTCTATATTTTTAGGAAATATCATTGTTAATATCTCAGTAAAGGATAAAATGAATGAGTATTTTACATATTTTAAAAAGTACAGAACATTGGCCAGGCACAGTGGCCCACACCTGTAATCCCAACACTTTGGGAAGCTGAGATGGGATAATCACTTCAGTCCAGGAGTTCCAGACCAGCTGGAACAGAATTCCATCCTACATCCACAGTGCACATTCCAGAAGTCGTGGGACAGAGGTACAACATGAGGAGCCTCTCAGTGCTAGTCCCCTTGTATGGAAAAGCCCTTGCCTGATCAATCACCTGAGGTCAGGAGTTCAAAACCAGCCTGGCTGCCGGGCGTGGTGGCTCACGCCTGTAATCCCAGCACTTTGGGAGGCCGAGGCGGGTGGATCACGAGGTCAAGAGATCAAGACCATCCTGGTCAACATGGTGAAACCCCGTCTCTACTAAA